CGGTGTATCGGTCAGGATGCAGAGTGAATGATGAGGAGACGTAGGTGGTCTTAGACTGCCTTGTGTTTAACAACAACATCAAACATTAACAACAACTTCCGTTCAGTCACTGACTCAACACTGGAAACACTGTTGGATATCCACACAAGGACAGCAGGATCCGCCGCTTACGTCATCAACATGCAGGAGGAGCGTGAGCAATTAACAGTTTGTTTTATTCAAATGAAACTTTATTGACAACTGTCAACGCTCCGTCCCCATTTCACTCGTACAGTGTGAGCACGACAATCTCAAGGTCTGGTCGGGCGTCGTAAACGATTCGGTCGTTCAGTGTGAGCTGACACGACGCCACGACTTTTATACAATCGAGGAAAAATTGCACAGAGTGAGTCAGAGCTTTGAAGTTCATCGTTGTGTCGTCTTGTTTTTCTCTTCCAGACTCTGCAGAGTCTCTTCAGGGAGAAAGGATCCATCGAGACCATCCGGTTCCGCTCCGTGGTAAAAACACACACACACACACACATAAACACACACACACACACACACACACACACACACACACACACACACACACACACACACACACTAACATAAACACATAAACACACACACACACACACACACACACACACACACACACACACACACACACTAACATAAACACACACACACACACACACACACACACACTAACATAAACACACACACACACACACACACTAACATAAACACATAAACACACACACACACATAAACACACACACACACACACACACACACACACACACACACACACACACAGTTTTGTTCTCCTCCAATCAGGACCTTCACTCAAAGACGGATGGTTTCTTCACTTCCTGTCTCGTGACTTTAATGTGTCTGTGGGTGGAGCCGTGACTTGAGGAACCAATGGGTGATTTGATGCAGTCTATGTTCTGGATTTCGTGGTTTAAGGATTGTGTCACATGTTTGTTTGTTTGTTTGTTTCCTGCAGGTGCGAGAGGATCCGTCCATATCCCGTAAAGTCGCCGTCATTCAGTACGTTTCTCTCTCTCCTGTAGAGTTAACGGTCGAGTCGCTGCCGTTAAGCTCCTCCCATTAATCAGCTGCTTGTTTCTGTTTTTCTCCACAGACGTAAAGTCCATCCCAAGAAGCAGAGCATCAACGCCTACGTGGTGTTTAAAGACGAGGAGGGCGTGGCCAAGGCGTTGGAGAGGTGAGACGGCGGCTCGGCGATTCACACGAACACGACGGCGCTCTGAAAGAGTTTGAAATGAAAAGTGTGATTGTGTCCCCCGACAGGAACGGCATGGAGATCGAGAAAGACTTTCACATCCGCGTGGACCGAGTGACGGACAGCTCGGCGGTGAGTCTCCAGATTGTAAACGCTAACGTAACGGCGTGTTGAAGACGTGCTGACGTTTCTCTCTCTTCTGCAGCACGACCACAAACGCTCCGTGTTCGTGGGGAACCTTTCATTCGGTGAGTCGTGTGTGTGTGTGTGCGTGCGTGCGTGCGTGCGTGCGTGCGTGCGTGCGTGCGTGCGTGCGTGCGTGCGTGCGTGCGTGCGTGCGTGCGTGCGTGGTGCGCACGCAGCGAGTCTATTTTCGCCGGAGTACGCTGCAGGAACGCATCAAGCTGGACAGAATATGACAGCCTGGACAGGAAGTCAGACAAGGAAACGCACAGCGCATCCGGTCAATTTCAAAATAAAACACAATATACGGACTCGTGATCGTATTTTTCATCACTTTATCAACATGACGTCAAAACAGGAACCGAATTAACAACAATGCATCCTCAGAAAGACAAAGCAACGTGTTGTTTGCATGTTTTTCTCTTTATTCCCGCGCGATCTCCTGTGATGTGTCATGGGTGCGCTCCGCTGCGCTGACGTCCCAGAAACGGATCCAGTGTGAACGGGCGCGAGCCGTCCGACGGAGTAAAACCGTGGCGCTGACGGAGTGTGTGAAATGGGTGTAAGAAGCATGAAACCTGATTCAGTGAGTCACAATGTGCAGCACATGGCTCATTTACATCACGTTATTTTCCCGTGAAAACACTGTGGAAAGATTTGAAGTGTGGTTAGCGAGCCAGCCTTTCTGTTCAACATCCTGTCTGATCATAATGTTTGGTATCCAGAGGTGAAGATGATGAGAGGAATGTGTTCTATCTTGAAGGTAACTTCATCCAGCTCTCTGCTTCATTATTATCTCAGACAACATTAAAGTGACAGCTGGTCAACACATGTAATAAGAGAGAGAATATAAACTTAATGAAAACCAGCAGGAGATAAACATCAGGTTCATATATTATGATGTTTCATATTTAATGATAGAAGATATTTGACAATATAGTCATCCTTGATGACTGTATGATGATGTTCTCTCAGACTCTGAGAGCTGCCTGCACAGTGACTGTCCTTCACATCACCTCTTAGTGGAACATGGTAAGACCTGTTCTGCAAATTCATCCCATTTCTAAAAAGGGACTGAAGGTTTGGAGCATCATGGGGTTCTTCATGTTTCACTGAAGCTTTATCAAAAAGTTAAAACAGAACATAGATATCAACAAGTAATTGTGTTTCTTATTGTTTGCTTCTTTAGTCTGAATGATAAAGTCTTCTGTAAATTCACGAAGTAAAGCTGATATTTAAAAAAAAAAAAAGAGTCTTCTTTGGATCCATGTCACCTTTTTCATCCCTGTGTGTTAATGTGTGTCTGTTAATTTGTGTGTGTGTGTGTGTGTAGAGATAAATGAGCTGGCTGTTCGGCGACACTTTGAGGAGTGTGGTGCCGTGGAGGCGGTCCGGTTGGTGCGAGACCAGAACTCTGGACTGGGGAAAGGATTCGGCTACGTGCTCTTCGAGGTAACGTTTTTATTTAACCAGAAATCCTGAAATCAGGACAAAATGTTTACAAACACAAAATCAAGAACTTATACTTGTTTGTGTACTTCCTGTTTGTGTCCGCCCCTCGCAGAGCGCTGACTCGGTGCAGCTGGCGTTGGAGCTCGATGGCACCAAACTGGAGGGCCGGTCGGTCCGGGTGAAGAGGTCGGTGAAGAAGGAGAAGCTGAAGAAAACTGACGGCAAAGGAACCGCGGGGAAGGCCGCCAAGGGCCCCACGAAGGGCCTCATGAAGGGTCCTTTTAAGGGCCCGGGGAGGGAGCGAGGAGGCTTCAAGAACTTCTCTGGAAATCAGCAGAAATCGCCCAGAAGCTCGGGCTCCTTCAAAGGAGAGATGACGGATCCGAACAAAAAGATTAAAAAGAAGAAGAAAGTGAAGCCCAATAAGAAGGTTCATATCTGACGTCTGAGGGGGAGGGGGGGGACGCCATGATGCCGCTCTTTCTGCTGTAAATGGACCAATAGGAGAGCAGCAGCGAGGTGTTCCAGACGGAGTGATCTGGAGGTTTTAGAGTTTCAGTGAATGCTGTTTGTTCATCGTTTGTCTCCAGGAAGGATTCAACTTTTCTACTCTGAACAAAATAAAAATGTTTTCAAGGTAACGGGTTTGAATCCCGCTCATGACCTCTTTGTCCCGCTGTTGTAGGGATCATGTTGTCAGTTGTGTTGAGTCCGTTTTCAGATGTCATTACTAAAGATAATAAATCACATTTCAACTAAAACACGACTGATGTGTTTTTATCTTCTTTCACCTGCAAACCATCAACAGTGTTTAAAAAAAGAAGAAGAAGGGGGCCCTTTCCGAATAGCCACAGTTCAGTAGGCAGTACGTACTTTTCAGTATGGAGTTTCAGTATACTGAACTTTCGTGGTCGTTCAGTATGGATACTAACTTCCTGGTTTCATGCAGTATGGATCGGATGCGTGCTTTCAGGAAATGAGTTGTATTTTACCCACAATGCTGTGCGAAAATAAACGTAAATCGTCACTTCACGTGCGCCTCCAAATCAAAACAAACGAGCATGGATTAATTTAATCAATTTTTAATCTAGAGTTAAAGTCCCGACTGAAATCACTACTTTAAATTAACAACAGAAAACAAAACAAATACCTGCATTATTATAAAACCTTTCTCCCTCTATTTAAATAATGATTTCACTATTTAAATAATGATTTCTCTATTTAAATAATGATTTCACTATTTAAATAATGATTTCTCTATTTAAATAATGATTTCACTATTTAAATAATGATTTCACTATTTAAATAATGATTTCTCTATTTAAATAATGAGTTCACTATTTAAATAATGAGTTCACTATTTAAATAATGATTTCTCTATTTAAATAATGATTTCACTATTTAAATAATGATTTCTCTATTTAAATAATGAGTTCACTATTTAAATAATGATTTCACTATTTAAATAATGAGTTCACTATTTAAATGTGTCTTTATTGGTTTATTTTATATTCTGTATATTACTGTCTTTCATTTGTTCTTTATGTACTGTATGTTATTTAGTTATTTAATCTTTTACTTGATTTACATTGTGATATTGTTTTTTGTTTACCTGACTGTATATGAGCATTACTCTTCTTGAATAAAGATAAACAAAAAAACAAAAAACAAACGGGTGAATGCGGCCGGTTCGGGAAACGTAAATGACGTCACTTCCTTACTGAATGAATCAGAAGTAGTAGGAACAAATATCTGCCTACTGAATAGTAGGTACTAACAGTATACAGCAGATAGTAGGTACTAACAGTATACAGCAGATAGTAGGTACTAACCAGTATACAGCAGATAGTAGGTACTAACAGTATACAGCAGATAGTAGGTACTAAACAGTATACAGCAGATAGTAGGTACTAACAGTATACAGCAGATAGTAGGTACTAACAGTATACAGCAGATAGTAGGTACTAAACAGTAAACAGCAGATAGTAGGTACTAAACAGTATACAGCAGATAGTAGGTACTAACAGTATACAGCAGATAGTAGGTACTAAACAGTAAACAGCAGATAGTAGGTACTAAACAGTAAACAGCAGATAGTAGGTACTAACAGTAAACAGCAGATAGTAGGTACTGTCTACTGACAGATTGAAGAGGTACTTGGCAATTCGGATACAGCCGAGGTCACCTTTACTGACACATAGTCCCTGCACGCCGCGTACCATGCATTACAGAGTGGATACAGCATTGAAGGTGGTGCCCCGGTCATTCCTATGAAAGCTGTTCAGGGGCGCACGGAGAAAAAAGTCAGACTGGTGTGACCTGCACTGTAAAAGAGCTTTGAGTAGTCAGAAGACTAGAAAACACCCGCGTCTGCTCTGTCACAACATTTGAAATAATCACAGATCACAGAGCTCCAGAGTTTGTTCACTTTTTATTGATTTTATTTTTTCTTTCCTCTTTAAGATGAACAGAACATTTCATCACTTTTTAAAAAGTGTTTCGAGGTCGAGAACCGAAAACAGAAAGACGACCGATTACAAAACAATAAATACTCTGCGGCCTCCTGTTCCTGTAACCTTCTGATATCATAAACAAACACGTCAGACTGTAAACCTGAAGCGTGAAGCGGGCAGGATGTGTCGTTTAATACGGGTCATTTAGTAAAAAAACAAACGCTACTGTCGCAGGTAAACCAGGAATACAAAATGAATTTCCTTTAGGACGCCTTGATGGGGGGAGCGAGAGACGTCGGCCGGAGTGATGGAGGCCGAGGTGTTGGCAGGTCAGAATGGAAGGAGGAGGAGGGCGGGTTGTTCCTGTCGATCCCTCGCCTTACTCTATATCGTCCTCGCTCAGACTCTGTGCACTCACAATACGCTGCAGGACAAAAACAAACAAACAGTTAGAGCCGTAGAGAGGAAGGAATCCATCGATAAAACCTGCAGGTGGACTCACGCTGTCTGAACTGCACAAAAACTTTTTTTAATTTTTTTTTTTATCTTACTTACTTTGTCTTTTTATGTTTTATTTTTATATATATATTTATAGTTTTGGGTTTTTTGATCCTTTAATTACTTTCTTTTCCTGCTCTTACCTTCTTATTGCTGTTCTCTTTTGATTTGCTTTGAGCTCTTTTAGTTTCTTACATCTTTTTAAATCTTTGCTCCTCTTGGTCTCAGCTTGTGTTGTTGGGTTCTTGTGTTGCCTGAGTTCTTATGATGGTTCTTATGATGGTTCTTATGATGGTTCTTATGTTGCCTGGGTTCTTATGATGGTTCTTATGATGGTTCTTATGTTGCCTGGGTTCTTATGATGGTTCTTATGATGGTTCTTATGATGGTTCTTATGATGGTTCTTGTGATGGTTCTTATGTTGCCTGGGTTCTTATGATGGTTCTTATGATGGTTCTTGTTTTGCCTGGGTTCTTATGATGGTTCTTATGATGGTTCTTGTGTTGCCTGGGTTCTTGTGATGGTTCTTGTGATGGTTCTTATGATGGTTCTTGTGATGGTTCTTATGATGGTTCTTGTGATGGTTCTTGTGATGGTTCTTGTGTTGCCTGGGTTCTTGTGATGGTTCTTGTGATGGTTCTTGTGTTGCCTGGGTTCTTATGATGGTTCTTGTGTTGCCTGGGTTCTTGTGATGGTTCTTGTGTTTCCTAGGTTCTTATGATGGTTCTTGTGATGGTTCTTGTGTTGCCTGGGTTCTTATGATGGTTCTTATGATGGTTCTTGTGATGGTTCTTGTGATGGTTCTTGTGTTGCCTGGGTTCTTGTGATGGTTCTTGTGATGGTTCTTGTGATGGTTCTTGTGTTGCCTGGGTTCTTATGATGGTTCTTATGATGGTTCTTGTGTTGCCTGGGTTCTTGTGATGGTTCTTATGATGGTTCTTGTGATGGTTCTTGTGTTGCCTGGGTTCTTATGATGGTTCTTATGATGGTTCTTGTGATGGTTCTTGTGATGGTTCTTGTGTTGCCTGGGTTCTTATGATGGTTCTTGTGATGGTTCTTGTGTTGCCTGGGTTCTTATGATGGTTCTTATGATGGTTCTTGTGTTGCCTGGGTTCTTGTGATGGTTCTTGTGTTGCCTGGGTTCTTGTGATGGTTCTTGTGATGGTTCTTATGATGGTTCTTGTGATGGTTCTTGTGTTGCCTGGGTTCTTATGATGGTTCTTGTGATGGTTCTTGTGTTGCCTGGGTTCTTATGATGGTTCTTGTGATGGTTCTTGTGTTGCCTGGGTTCTTGTGATGGTTCTTATGATGGTTCTTGTGATGGTTCTTGTGTTGCCTGGGTTCTTATGATGGTTCTTATGATGGTTCTTGTGTTGCCTGGGTTCTTGTGATGGTTCTTGTGATGGTTCTTGTGTTTCCTAGGTTCTTATGATGGTTCTTGTGATGGTTCTTGTGTTGCCTGGGTTCTTATGATGGTTCTTGTGATGGTTCTTGTGATGGTTCTTGTGTTGCCTGGGTTCTTATGATGGTTCTTATGATGGTTCTTGTGATGGTTCTTGTGATGGTTCTTATGATGGTTCTTATGATGGTTCTTGTGTTTCCTAGGTTCTTATGATGGTTCTTGTGATGGTTCTTATGGTGGTTCTTGTGATGGTTCTTGTGATAGTTCTTATGATGGTTCTTATGGTGGTTCTTGTGATGGTTCTTGTGATGGTTCTTGTGTTGCCTGGGTTCTTATGATGGTTCTTGTGATGGTTCTTGTGATGGTCTGGTTCTATATGTCTGTTGGGTATCGTGCACTTTGGGTTCTTTTCTGTTGAATTGTATTTAATTATTTTTTAGTATTTTGCATTTGTTATGTTCTTGCTGTTGTTTATGTTCTTCTGTGTTTGGTTTAGTCATCATCCTGAGATTTAACACAGTTTGTAAATTCCTCCACCAGGGGGCTCTCAATCCAAACAAAAAGAAAAGTTGATGTTGAGGCTGGCGGGGAATCGTGGGAGTGATCCTCTTTACTGCTATCTTCACGTTTTGTCATTTATATGTTGCTACACCTATTTAGTCCAGATCAAATCGATAAGAACAGACTTGTCTTGGTCTTGGAGAACTAAAACTCAACCTAGGACTCTATAACTGTTGCCATGGTAACCACGTACAAGTATTACATCGTGGTTTGAATGAGGTTCAGGACAGTCAGGCAGGTGTTACAGCTACCTGGATCAAAGAAGACCACATGGTGAAGCTACCCGTCTGATTCTGGACTTCTTAACGAGGTGTGGAGGCTTCAAAGCGGCTGCACAGAGGGGCTCCAAAGTAAACACATTAACCACAAAGAAGGAGGTCTCACCTGGCTGATGGTGGGCAGTTTGGTGAGCAGCATCTGGAAGACGGGCGGAGGCAGAGTCTGTTGCAGCACCTGCAGCAGCTGCTGGGGCTGACCGCACACCGCGATGGCGTTGGTCAGGTGGTCCACACCTTTCTCATAGTCTCCTGAAGGACAAAATATGAGGACACAGTAAGGCCGACTTCACAAAACTCCAGAAACCGTCCAGACATTTGAGGTGCATGTGAGAATGAACCAAGACTCCAGGCGCCGTCTTTGAATCCTCGTCAGCAGGTCAAAACTTTTAAAGGTCAAAAGTTCAGCCTAAATACTGCAGAGTGAGAGCAGAAAGAGAGGCGTTACCCTGAGCCAGCAGCTCCTCCCCGAGCTGGATCTCCTCCAGGAAGAACTTCTGCACGGCCTCTGCGTCCTTCAGGTCGGGGAGCTGCAGAAAAACACAACGCTCAGAACTCCTCTCCTTTCCTTCTGGTCTCCGACATGGAGACAGCTTAAATCACACCCACAGTGAAATACTTTTGAAACTGTCCCGAGTAGATCAGTCATTGCTTTAACGTTTCCTCACATTCTGGAGCCAGTAGAGAACGATTGATTGCACCAACGTGAAGTATGAAGAAGACGCTGTGCTTACCTTTGCGATGCCGGCCCTGTCTTTGGCTACCTTTTGCTTTCTCCTCCCTGCAACGGGAACACAAACAAGACGGTCAGATCCCCGAGAACAAAGCTGAGCCTTCAGGATGCAGTTAAAGGGGAACACACACTTTTTATGTGCATGTGTGTCACTGCACAGATTAGGATATTAAAGGAAGAATGTGCGACTTTTTGATCCAGTAGATGTCGCCCTTGAGCTCCAGCATGAAACCAAAACAAACTGCTATTAGGCCACGCCTCCTCCATACTGAAGCCTACATTCGCGCAAAGGAGTCGAGCTAAATTGTCCTCTACTCAAGCTGCGATCACCCGTGTCCTGCATTGTTGTGTTAGCATGCTAATGTTAGCGCTCTTTAGTTAGCTCGTAGCTTCACATTTCATGTAAACTGACACAGAATGAGCGTGATCTAAAAACTCTTACTAACATCCAAATAATCAGTGAGTATGTTCTTCTTCTTCTCTCTAGTTCTTGACTAAAACAGCTTTTATACACAAGGGGAGGAGCCGGCCGTCCCGTCCATGTAAACACGGCTCTGACAACAACACAGCCAGCGGGACTCGAGCTTCTCCCTCATTGTAGACAGTCAGGACTCAGAGACACATTTACACAGGATGGACTTTATGATTTATTGATGTGGAACATTCTTCCTGTTGAATTCACGAGTTTTTCCAAAGTAAATCTCAACTCTTAATGAAAATGTATTATTTATCAAGCAAGAGAGTTGAATATTTGTGTTCCAGCTCCTTAAAATCTGAAGGTTTGCTGCTGGTATTTGTGTTTATGAGAGACACTTCAGGGTCTTTGGGTTGGTAAGGTCGTCAAAAGTTTAGATAGCTAAATACCTTTTTGATACCACATGTTTTAAAACGTTACATCCTCTCTTATTAAAATCAGCCATAGAATCAAAAAGAATCTTAAAGAAACTTCAGATCTTCAGTCGTACGTTCACACGGTCCAAATCATATAAATCTGTCGGAGTTTGCGTGCAATTTTCGGTGATTAAAATCAAGAAATGATCCAACACTGGGTGTGTAGGACTTTCTGTGTGTTTGTTGTTGTGGTGTCCAAAGAGGAACCGATGTCGTTTGAGTTTTAAGAGAGACGGATTCCTCTCGCTGAAGGGTTAATGATTGGACAGTTCAAACTGAGCTCAACGTGTGGAACAAAGAATCATTAACCCCTCACAAACTGAGTGACTGAACAGACTTAGTACATCTTTTCTAACTAAGCTCAGCCGTCATCACGTCCTTTGTACTTTCATATTGATTCTCCAAGTCTGTGAGGTCACATTCTGTTTTGGCGTTGTGGAAGCACGGCACAGCGGGAGCTCCACATACACACACACACACACACACAGAGCGCTGTGCTCCCCTGCTGACTCCACTGAACAGTCCCGCCTCTTTTACTACCTCTGAAGACGCTACAGAAGGGGGGATCACCCACCCCCCCCCCCCCCGCCTTACGCCTCCAAGACATTCAGATTGAAGGTGAAACGTCACAGGGGTGTAAATATCACGGACTGGAACAGCAGTCTGAGTCGGCCTGTGTTCATCAGGAGCTTTATGGTCGCCTGAATTGTCGCACCTGGAGCAGCCTCGTGTCACCTCCCCTCCCCCCGGCAGGTAGTAAGACCACAATCTCTCCGTTTGGCTGAGCGCCGGTCAGCAGCACGGGGGAAGCTGAGCGTGTTGTTGTTGTTGTTGTTGTTGTTGTTGTTGTTGTGAAACAGACTTTATCAATGAGTCTGCGGAGGTGCACACAAACAGGTCACTGAGAGAATGAAACTAGAGCGATGTTAGAAAGTAGTGACGTAATCAGCAAACCTAACCTAAATCCTGTGACTTTATCCTGACCTTGCCGGTAACTTCAAGGTCAAACCACACATTTCAACCAGAGGTGTCACGAGGGCTGGGCGATAAATCCTGTTTGTGGTTTAGGAGGATTTTCAAAATTGATAATCTAGATTATCTCGATAATTTACTCCGCTGCTCCCCCCTGGGCCCCCACGGCTCAAATCCCCCCGCCCTTGTTTACTCGCTCCAGAGCGGCCCCAGGAATGTGACATAAGTAAGACATTCTTATTAGTAGGTTTACTTTAAGCCGCATTAACCTGAAGACCTCGTGGACTCATGTAAGATGATTAATCAGCACTGAAAAGAGAAACTTCAGGGAGAGAAGCTAAAGACTGGGGCTGTCAACATTAACTAGTAAACGCACCTTTTTTGTCCCTTCAGACTCTCCGTAGATACTCGTCCTCAGTGTCTCCCTGTAGTCTCACTGCTGCATCTCTGAATGTCTCATTTCACTTTAACAAACTCTCACACAGTAATATCCACCTGATGACATCACACACTGACCTGATGACATCACACACTGACTTTATGACATCACACTGACCTGATGACATCACACACTGACCTGATGACATCACATTGACCTGATGACATCACATTGACCTGATGACATCACATTGACCTGATGACATCACACACTGACCTTATGACATCACACACTGACCTTATGACATCACACACTGACCTTATGACATCACACTGACCTGATGACATCACACACTGACCTGATGACATCACACACTGACCTTATGACATCACACTGACCTGATGACATCACACATTGACCTGATGACATCACACACTGACCTGATGACATCACACACTGACCTGATGACATCACACACTGACCTGATGACATCACACACTGACCTTATGACATCACACACTGACCTTATGACATCACACTGACCTGATGACATCACACACTGACCTGATGACATCACATTGACCTGATGACATCACATTGACCTGATGACATCACATTGACCTGATGACATCACACACTGACCTTATGACATCACACACTGACCTTATGACATCACACTGACCTGATGACATCACACACTGACCTGATGACATCACACACTGACCTGATGACATCACACACTGACCTTATGACATCACACTGACCTGATGACATCACACATTGATCTTGTGACATCACACACTGACCTGATGACATCACACACTGACCTGATGACATCACACACTGACCTTGTGACATCACACATTGACCTTGTGACATCACACACTGACCTTGTGACATCACACACTGACCTTGTGACATCACACTGACCTTGTGACATCACACACTGACCTGATGACATCACACACTGACCTTGTGACATCACACACTGACCTGATGACATCACACACTGACCTTATGACATCACACACTGACCTTATGACATCACACACTGACCTGATGACATCACACACTGACCTTATGACATCACACACTGACCTGATGACATCACACACTGACCTGATGACATCACACACTGACCTTATGACATCACACTGACCTGATGACATCACACACTGACCTGATGACATCACACACTGACCTTATGACATCACACTGACCTGATGACATCACACACTGACCTTATGACATCACACACTGACCTTATGACATCACACACTGACCTTATGACATCACACACTGACCTGATGACATCACACACTGACCTGATGACATCACACACTGACCTTATGACATCACACTGACCTGATGACATCACACACTGACCTGATGACATCACACACTGACCTTATGACATCACACTGACCTGATGACATCACACATTGACCTGATGACATCACACACTGACCTGATGACATCACACACTGACCTGATGACATCACACACTGACCTTATGACATCACACACTGACCTTATGACATCACACTGACCTGATGACATCACACACTGACCTGATGACATCACATTGACCTGATGACATCACATTGACCTGATGACATCACACACTGACCTTATGACATCACACACTGACCTTATGACATCACACTGACCTGATGACATCACACACTGACCTGATGACATCACACACTGACCTGATGACATCACACACTGACCTTATGACATCACACTGACCTGATGACATCACACATTGATCTTGTGACATCACACACTGACCTGATGACATCACACACTGACCTGATGACATCACACACTGACCTTGTGACATCACACATTGACCTTGTGACATCACACACTGACCTTGTGACATCACACACTGACCTTGTGACATCACACTGACCTTGTGACATCACACACTGACCTGATGACATCACACACTGACCTTGTGACATCACACACTGACCTTGTGACATCACACATTGACCTTTGTTACCGTTCCTTTGACGTCAGTTTGGGATCCCTAACCACTTCCTGTGTTTAAACTCATGTCCTTCACTCTACCGGAAGGGCCTTACTTTGTTTCAAAATAAAAGCACACAGCTAGTTAAGAACTCTCATCTTAAGGCAGTACAAAAATTCAAAATAAAAGCCTAACAATTTTTATTTTGAAATACAAAACAACAGAATTTAAAAATGCTAATTTATATGTTGTGTCTAATCACGATTAAACATTTTAAGATGTTTACAGCCCTAGTAAGAAGTGACCGGAACTCGTCATGAGCGCTTCATCACATTAAACAGAACAAAGCTGCACGTAAGAGTAAATCATGTCAAAGGAAATTCAACTAAATCTATACATTTACAATTAAATATTTGGTTAACTTTCAGCCGAATTGAGCCGAAGACATTGTGTTGTGTTTCTGGATGTTAATGAATCACTTTTAAGTTTTTTAAACGACAGTTTATGGATCAAATCTTAAAATGAGGAGAAAGCTAAAGGGGGTTCGGCAGGAGAGCCTTATGGAACATACGGCTAGCACGGCCACTACAGGGCGGGTTAGAGAAGCTAAAACTGTGAAGACCGGCTGGCCGAACCAAAACAACACAAACCGAGAATTACCGAGCCGAACCGAGCCACACTGGACCGGATCTGAGCTCTGAGGCCTGATGGAGGAGGAGGAGGAGGAAGAGGAGGAGGAGGACGAGGAGGAGGTCAACACTCACGTTCCCGCAGCCTGTTCTTAAAGTTGGGGTCACTCCGCCGTTTTCTGTCGAAATAAATGCAGTAACCGACGAACAGAGCCCCGCACACCCCCGCGGCCAACGCGCTGGTCCTCCCGCCCATCATAACTCCCGGGACCCGGTCCGTTTGAGCAGGATTTACGGTGAATTTGTCGGTTTTCTGTAACCGGTTGTCGGCTAACGGAAGGAGACTGGAGGAGCAGCTCAGGGCTGAAGGACCCGTCAGGACCCCGATGTTTGACAGCCTGTAGGCGTCTTTGAAGTGCCTGATTAAAAATGAAAAGACGGGCCAAAATACAAGATGTCTCCTGAATTAAATTATAAAATAACCTTAATTCCTGTCTCATGACTTTAAAGGACCAATCAGTAAGATATGTAGTAAATTCAATTTTAAAATGACCTTACTTTGATCAGACATTAAGGAAACATGCTATGTTGAAGTGCTGGCTTCTCTGACAACAATGCAGCAGCCAGTTTGTCCTCCTTCTAACTTTAGATTCTGCTCCTGAATTAGGGTTGCCACCCGTCCCGTAAAATACGGAATCGTCCCGTATTTTTCACTTTGATATTGCGTCTCGTTTTGAATCAGTACGGGACGCGGTTTGTCCCATATTTCCAAGATGCCTTGAACTCAGCATCATTCAGCCGGCTAGTTCCCGCCTCCTCGGAGCGTCCGTTGGTTTGTTTGGTTCTTTTTTGGCATGAGCAATGAGAGCTCGTCAGTGATTGGGTGAGAGAAAGTCATAGGAGTCAGTAAGGAAACATGTCTGCCTCTGATTCCCGCACTGTGCACCATAGAAACGTAAACGAAGCAGAAATACAGACGAGAGTAGAAAGTAATGACTGGCTAACAGTGTCAGTGAAAATGAATATAATGTAAAGGAAACTATTATAGGCTACTTCATATATTTTCTCCCATGTTTATAATAGGTTATTCCAGTATAGTTTGGATAGTGTGAATATTTTTCAGTACATAAAACAAAAAGATACATTTATTTTAGCTAAATCTGTATTCACAGTTTGTCCTGGGCGAGATATCATCAATACAACATCAATATATCGACAGAAGACACTTAATTAATACAATAAGAAAATAGTTCAAACCCATATTAACAGTATCATTCATCATGAGAAAACAACAAACACAACAGACAGAAGGAATAAATGAACTACTATTAAATTCTTACAGTTTATTTAATTAAAAACCTGTCCTCCTCCCCTCTATGTTACAGCAGTGTCAAAAGCACTTCAATAATACTGTTAATGAATTAATGTTAAGTTAATAACTTTATTTGAACTTTAAGTTAAGTTGTAAATTAAATAGCTCGTAGTAATCATCTGCTGACGTCCTGTTAGCTGCATTTCATTGTGCATACATTACTGTATCTGCCTTAAACTGAAATTTTGTGTTTTTGTAAATTATTTTTAAGTACTTTAGTTAATAAAGCACTTAAAACTTTAAGTATGACTCTTATTACTTCATTAAAACAACGTTTTAAATCATGATTCACCACAACTGGTGCCCCACTCCACCGTTGGGCCAGTGGTGGTCAGGCCCCTGCTGAGTTGCACCTCGCTGCGGGGTGTCCTTTAATTTTCTGCTTGAAAGGTGGCAACCCTATCCTGAATGCTCTGGATTTGTTTGGACCAGAGAAGGTAAACAGTTTTAAGGCCCCCCCCCCACATACACACACACACACACACACACACACACACACACACACACACACACACACACACACACACACACACACACACACACACACACACACACACACACACACACACACACACACACACACACACACACACACACACACACAGGCCGTTTTGGACGCCCCTCGGTTTGTCAGATATGAGAGCAGTTATCAGGTCAACAGGTGTTGCAGCGATGGAAGCGGTCAAGAGAAGTGGTTCAGATAGAAGTGATTGTACCCGACCTAAAAAGCCTCTGCATGTTTCTAATAAGCTCCACGAGCAGAAACGTGCTCAAACTAGGATCAATATTGGAGATGCTTTTGAAAAATGGAGAGAGGTTAGAACACAGAAAGGTTTACAGACCCATGCAGAGCTGGATAAACACTGAAGCTTCAGAGTCCACCACATGGTGACCTGAGTGAGCATCCACTCTAGAGAGGAGGGGGGGAGACAGCTCTCTATGATGTTTAGAATTTAGACTGCAGTACCCATTTTAAACACTAGATGTCAGAGTTATTAATAATTTAAACTGTCATATTGAAGATGTAACGATAAACTTGACTCAAGATACGATTTTCTTACGATTGCTTTTTATGGTTTTACAACTTTACCAAAACAAAATTAATTGAAGTACATTTCAGAACATATCTTTATATAAAGTAAAGTTCAAAATATACCTTCCCTTATTTTTCTTTAAATATACAAGTAATATCAGGGACAAAAACAACAAAACATTCCAGAACTACCTTTTGAATTTCAAACGTGAGAAAGTATTTTGACATTTTGACAGATAACCTTTAAATATAAAAATAAATGTATAAAATATGTATAATTTAAGCATCTCAGTGTCTGTGTGTTCACGCCTCTGCTGCAGCAGCTGTTGTTTCATGTCAGCCATCAACACAGATTCAAAGTATTCAATATGTTTCTGTCAGTGTGACGCTGACTCACACAGACACACACACACACACACACACACACACACACACACACACACACACACACACACACACACACACACACAGACTGAAACGAGCACCCCGCCCCGTGGCATTATGGGTACAGCAGGCTGAAGACACCTGCAGTGACTTCTGTCTGTCAGCAGGGGTAGCTGTTGGTCCATCACAGCATCCTTAAAAACATGCAAATACACTCACTGAGAATACACACTGTCTGCTATGGTAAACTCATACTTGTGTGTGTGTGTGTGTGTGTGTGTGTGTGTGTGTGTGTGTGTGTGTGTGTGTGTGTGTGTGTGTGTGTGTAGAGTATGCATCACGACAGGCTCTGATGTCTTGATATTCAGAGGTTTGATGCCGTTAAGGATTCAAAAAGAAAGTCAGAAGCAAGTACGTCTTCATGATATAAGAACACCCAGACACAAACCCAGGCACACACACACACACACACACACACACACACACACACACACACACACACACCCTGCAGCAGCATGGGAGAGCTGGGCTTCCTTGTACTTACTTTCTGCGTCTGTAAACTTTGTCATCTAGCGTTGTGTTTGCACCCAAAATAAACCGAATGTTGACTCTTGTCACTTGCATGTTTGTGACTGTGGGATCATTTTGTGTCCTTTTCAGTTGGTTACACACAACTTATGAATAATTCCTGTTCCACATTTGTAGGAAAACCAAAATCCAACTTGTCTGTGTTCATATCTTCACATGTTCTCTCCTCCTCCTCCTCCATGAACTGTGTCTGCAGGAACTTTTCCTGCTGCTACCAGCTAACTACTTGTTAACTAAGATAGTACCAGGTCCTAGGTTGATGTCTTGTTAGTTAGGATCAGTAGCAGGATTTTTATGTATTGACATGCAGCAAAGGGCCTAGGTCAGATTTGAACCCACAGTCGCTGTGCTGAGCACTACAGCCTCTGTACATGTGGTGTCATAACCGCTAGGCTATCAGCGCCCAAAAAAGAGTTTCTATCTTAACCATTTTGCAGTTTGTTCCATTATCCATTTTGTACTGTTTTGCTTTAGATTCTCTGATAATAAACTATTTTTATAATCACACTGTTGTTGTTTCATAAACATTATTGGCCGCTGTCCTTTATTTGAAACGGATGAGATCATGTTACGAGGTTTCTTTACATGTTCCAACAACAATTTCATCAGTTCAATCATCGTGGGGCCATTAACCTGGATATAAGTCGTTATGCCGCCATGTTGTGTGTATTAAGGTGTCTAGCAGCCTGTGTGTGTGTGTGTGTGTGTGTGTGTGTGTGTGTGTGTGTGTGTGTGTGTGTATGTGTGTGTGTGTTTGCTTTGGCAGCGTCCTGCCCTCCACAGATGGCTGCTCTCTGTGTGAAGTCTCCTCTGAGGATCATCAGTGAAGCTGAAGCTGCAGAAACAAAGAGGACCAGAGTCGTATGAACCCACTTAAAGGAGCGAGTCAATGAGAATACCAACACCAACAGGTCATAACTGAACCATATGAAGCTGTGTGTGTCTGTGTCAGGCCTGCAGACTCTAATAAACCTTCTGATGAACTCAGTGTTGCCTTTAGGAAACCATGAGTGTGTCTGCAGATTTCCCTACCCAAAGTTTTCTTTTTCAGTTTTTTTATTTAATGAAATAATGCAGCTTGGTGAGTCGCTCCATTCACGTGCTCCTTGGATGGTCCCAGTTCCCGAGTTGGGAAGCTGTCGTTCTTCCAACTTCAGTGTGTTCAAGTACTTCACTTCAGAAAGTCGGAGTATTGTAATAAAAGTAGGCTATGCGAGATTGGTCTTCCACTTTTTTAAGGTCTTGTCTTTGAATCAATAGCATGTTTACTTAAGACATGGGCGGACTCTGGATTTGGAATTAAGACCGGTCATTCCAGAGTTTTGGAGCATGTTGGACTGCGAAAGCCAGACAGCCCTTTGTCTTCAAACAGGCTCCGGGTACAACCGGTTAACCCTGATCAGCTGATCTGAGGGGGCGCCCAGGCTCATAAAAGAGTTAATAAGTCAATTATGTAACAAGGGGCCTTGTCATGTAGAGCTAGCTAGTAATACACTTTTTAAATCATTACGGTAGCTCAGCAGAAGCCAAAACAACGAGGCCAGGATTGGGGTTATGTGGTTGTGTTTTCTTGGGTTAGGGTCTTGAGCCATTATCAGTCCAGCTGAGCATTTTTAACTAGTTGAAGTCAGTAAAGGGCATTGGAGAAATCCAACGAGGACAAAATAAAGGAATGGAAAACCAAGTCGGCAAGTCAGGCTCCAATAGAGTAGTTGTTCTGACTTGAGCATGCGTTCACATGCATTTTCCAACTAGGAAACTTATTTTTCCGATGCGTCCGACACCACATGAATGCAGCAAGGGACCCAGTTCTTGAATAGTCACACTATTGGTCTTGATCTAGTGTCATGTCTGAATTGATGTTTTTGCATGTTCACAAAACTCCTGAAACCCTGATTTTTTTCCTGCCAGCCTCCTGGTAAAATTTCCACATGAAGTCTGGTCAGAGTTTATAAAACACATGACTTTAAGTATGAGCACATTTTGTTAAGTATGTTAAGTAAAATA